TGTCTCAAAAATGTAGGTCAAAAATCTGTGTGTGTGTGTGTGTGTGTGTGTGTGTGTGTGTGTGTGTATTTATACTGTTTCTTCATTCATGTGTAAGTGTTATTACGATTTTTACATTGCCCTGAAAGTGTTAAACTGTAAGATTAGAAATGAAAAGTGTTACTTTCGTGTATGATTTGAGACACCAGAGGGTTGTGTTTTTTTCCCCCTCCTCTGAACATTTCTCCCTGTCTTTCACAGCTGCATTTAATATACTACCTTTCTCTCCTGTTTTGGGACCTGGTACTTTTTACTTTTCTCTTCTTTTATAATCTTGTTCATGAAGCATTTACAAAAACAGCAGCAAATCACATTACTCATTTTATGTGAAACTTCTCAAAAGTCTAGAAGACGGGTATTGCTGTCCTCTTGGGGCATGCCCCTGTAGGTTTGGCACCATCCTCCCTGCCCTCAATCCGTGTCTGCTCTTGTGTATGTGAGTGTGTGTTGTCACTAACGACTCTCTCCTGCCTCTCCCTGTCTGTTGGTGTCTAGCTCTACATGGTGCGAACTATGGCAGAGTCCTTGAGCTCTGCTGAGCTGTTGTGGCAGCTCAAGTCTTTGGGGATGGAAAGGCTCTTGCATGTGGTAAACGCGTTTCTGAGGCAGTCCTACATGTATCCGCCTCTTTTAACCTTTGGTGGTAAGACATAACTTCATTTGCTCTTTTGTTGTTATTGAAGACGTTCAGAGGTGAACTGTTCCGCTACAAGTTGTTTCTCCTGGCTGTCCATTTAATAGGTGCTGGTCCTTGGAGGAGGAGCCAGACTGGCTGGCCTGGGTGCTGTCCTGTGCAGCTCTCTCCCACCCGACTCAAGGACTGGTCAGGATGTAGCGGAGCAGTCCTTCTCTGGAGAGTTTTCTGAGTTTAGCGTGACTAATGTACCATGTATTTTCTCCCCCATAAATGTTTTCTTGGATAATGCAGCTTTACATGGTGAGAACTATGCTAGAATCCCTCATTGCAGACAAAAGTGGTTCCAAGAAAACCTTGAGAAGTAGCCTTGAGGGGCCTACCATATTGGACATAGAAAAATTTCATCGAGAGTCATTCTTCTACACTCACTTGATAAATTTCAGTGGTAAGAGATACTGATAGTTGGCACCTGGCTACATACTCTAACACTGCTAATTCATGGAATGCTTGACCACCTGTGCAGGTTCCTGACCCACTCATTTGGGACCATGACTGTACATGGTGGGTAGAAATTTCTGGCTTTGCTGTGTGTGGCCTCAATAGTAGTGTGGCTCTTAGAAGAATAGGCCACAGAGTTGAGATGACCACAAACAAAGATGTACATAACCTATTGCCTATGTCTAGAAGCAAAACTAGAAAGCCTAGAAATGGTACCCCTAGCAAAGATGGGACTGACCCACAGATGCGGAGGTGTCATGGGCTCCTCGCCACACTAACCTGTGCTGGGTCATGCTCACTATCTTTGTGTATGTTTGCATGTTACTACAACATCTGTGTCCGCTGATCTTGTTCACAGCAAGAGGCCTCTTTCTTGCCTGTTTGTGAATTCCTTTCATAAGGGGCCCAAGGCCAAGCTGCAGGCCCTGAAATAGAAAGTGGCACATTTGTTCTTTAACTCTGAAAGAGTTGATACATTTTTTAGGGGGGTGGAAAGTGCCTGTGTTTTATCATTAATCTTTTACTGGCTATTCTTATGATGGGAGGTCATAAGATTGATTCTTTCCTACATAAAAGAGCTTCATCCCCCTCCCCGACCCCCATTTAAAACTATTTTGTTTCACACAGTCCTGTTGAGGGCATGGTGGGGTTGAAGAGGTGTTTGTCACAAGTGCACAGGGCTGTATGTCCGACACCTTTACAGTGTGCAGTCCCTCTGGGTCTGGATGCTGTCTGTCCATGAGGGTGCCTGTGTGGCTGAAGGTGGCTCGCTTGTGCACACAATTCCTTCGTATTCCTAGTAGCCACCCCAGTATTTATGCCCACCATATGTAGTTGGGGCATTTACCTTTTCTGAGTTTCATTCTGCCTCGAGAGATTAACATGATGTTTTTTGAATACTTATAGAGACACTGCAGCAGTGCTGTGACCTCTCGCAACTGTGGTTCAGAGAGTTCTTCTTGGAGCTGACAATGGGCAGGCGAATCCAGTTTCCCATTGAAATGTCCATGCCCTGGATCCTGACAGACCACATTCTAGAAACCAAAGAGGCATCGATGATGGAGTGAGCATCTTGGGAAGGGGGGAGTGGGGCATGTCTTCTGGGATTGGTCTCTTTTGTTATGATGATTAATGAGAGCTTGAGGGTACATTGAAACTGGGAGGTGGTAAATAGGACTGGGCTATTAATAGATTCTTATTTAAAAGGTAACATTTTGAAGATTATTAAGTGTAACAAGTTTCTTGGCTTTAATCTGAAACCAGGAATCCAGACTGTGTGTTTCTACTTTATGCCAGACAGTAGGTCGCCGGGCAGGACAAAGGAGTCAGAGTGTGAAGTTTGGATGCTGGCTCTTGCCTGAGCTATCACCAGCATCTCAGTGGTCCTAGGATGGAGGAGTGTCCAGTTGCCTGCCACCTCTGTGACCTGCTCTCTTATTGGGTCAGGACCTCCGATCTATCTAGATGTGGGGAAGCAATTGTTAATTAAGTAGATTTTCTTTGTAGAGAAGGACAAAGTCATTAAAAATATGAAGGCCATGAAATGAAAAGTATTCAAAACTTGAATGCCCTCTGGCAGACAAACTGAGGAGCCAAAGGGCTGGTCTTCTAGAAGTGGGAAGAAGAGCATCTTGCTCTGGGCATGGGGGATGTCAGTGCTCAGCTGATCTTACTGAGCCTAACCTGCTGCATGGGGAATGTCAGTGCTCAGCTGAGACGAAGGAGCCTAACCTGCTGCATGGGGGCTATGGTGTCAGTGCTCATCTGACCTTACAGAGCCTAACCTGCTGCATGGGGAGTGTCAGTGCTTAGCTGAGCCGATGGAGCCTAATCTGTTACATGGGTGGGTGTGTGGGGAATGTGTGTAGGGTGGGTTGTGAGTGAGTGCTCAGCTGAGCTAGAGCCTAACCTGCTGGTGGCCAAGGATAATGACAGTTCTGTCATCCAAGGGCTTCATTTGGAGTGATGTGAAGACCGCATGTTAAGTTTTTGTGGTTGGGGTTTTAATTTTGTTTGATCCTGTCTGGTTTATGTGGGCTCTCTCCTCCAGGATAGAAAGGGCCTATCAACCCATCACAAGAGCCCAAGGTTGAGTGTCAAATCTGACAGGGTCTCCCAGAGAGAAGCTGCCTTTTCTCCTGACACAGTCCCCCAGGAAGAGGGCCTTTTGTCCATGAGCCAGTGATGGAACACACCCCTGTCTGCAATCATTATACATTTCCCCCTTTTAAGTATACATTCATTTTTTTGATATGAGAAAATACTGAGTTTTGTTACTGTAAAAATACAACATACAAGGAGCTCTGGTGGCCTAGTGGGTAAGAAGCTGTGCTGCAATCCCAAAGGCTCGCGGTTCAAATCCACCAGATGTTCAGCTAGAGAAGTAGGGGCAAGCTCCTCCATGCCTGTCTGATCTGGCTCGATGGTACACAACAACAAAAACAAAACACACAACATACTTATGAAAAAGTTTAAATGGAGGAGATCGTTTGTGTTGATGCCTGGTATACTTGGAAGATACCTTGTGTGTAGCCCAAACAGATGGATGAGTGACTCCTGGGGAGGTGGCAGGGGGGTTTGGGGGGTTGGGCGGGAGTGCTGTTTTCTGGGGGAGTAGGCTTGTCAAGCCCACACAGGCCCATCATGGCACTTCTATGTCTCTTGGTACCACCATGCCATTTTGGAAAGAGGACAGAGTTGATTGATAGAAATGACAATATTCTCTCATGTGATAGAGAAAAGAATAAAACTGTTTTTAAGGAGTTGGAAATCTTTTAGAGGTGAGAATTCCCTGCTGTGGCTTGGTTTTGAACAACAAGTGACAGCCATCCCTTCCACAGGTATGTGCTCTACTCTCTTGACTTGTACAACGACAGTGCTCACTATGCCCTCACCAGGTTCAACAAGCAGTTCCTCTATGACGAGATAGAAGCTGAGGTGAGGGCTGGATTTTATAACAATATGTTAAGTCATTCTTCCCTCTTACTATTAAATTATTTATACTTAGTTCCAGGAATTCTAAATAAAGATGTAAACTTGATTATCACCAACATGCTGCCTCACAAGAACTTTATTGAAATACCTTGAGGGCTTTGTTTTGATGAGTTCTCCACACTTAGCTCTGTTGTTTTATTTACCATGTTGTTTTATTCTGCTTCTTTACCAAATCAAGAGTTCACAGTTTTACCTGCTGTATATTATAAATACAGTATGAAACTGAGTCTTAGATTTAATTAAAAGAATAAAACCAATCTATTTCCTATCTTTAGTTTTAATGTTTGTTGTTATGTACTATTGAATTGAAACTGACTCATAGCTAACCCTCCATGGTTTTTCAGAGGCACTAAATCACGTGGGAGGATATTGCCCTTCTTTTCCCATGGAGCTGATGGATTCATACCACGTGCTTTTCAGTTAGCAGCGCAACTCCTTCCCACTTAACCACCAGAGCTACCTATTTAATTTTTGTTTGCTCTAAATAATTGGGAAGAGTACTGAATATCTACTAGATTGCCAAAAGAACAAACAAGGAAAGGTGAAGCTCAGGTGCTCGTTAGAGGCAAGGATGATAAAACTTGATGTCACATACTTTGGCCTTGTTATCAAGATGTATCAGACTATGGAAAAAGACATTATGCTGGGATAGATAGTAGGTCAATGAAAGAGGGGAAGAGCCTTAATAAAATGAATTGATACAGTGTCTGTAAGAGTGGGCTCAAGCGTGGTGGAAAGTGTAAGGAGGACACAGCGTAGGACAAGATTTTGATCTCTTGTTAATTGGGTCACTTTAACAGTAGACTTGAGAGTACCTAAGAACAAAATAGGTAACGGTCATCACATAAACAACTTACCTAATTTATTATTGTATTTTTATATTGGTTCTACTGTTGTTTTCTTAGAATAGGCTCCATTAGTTGCCCTAAGATACAACACTGTTAGTATGGCCTTAATTCTAGGCATTATAATCTAAGGTGTTCTTTGTCTTTATTTAGGTGAATCTTTGTTTTGACCAATTTGTTTACAAGCTGGCAGATCAGATATTTGCATATTACAAAGTTATGGCAGGAAGGTGAGTGAGTGGTTTGTTTGTTTAAGTGTATACACAAACATACAATCATTCAGTAATTTTGTCTGTACAGCTCATTGTTACTGATTACACTTATTTCACATTTGTCACCAATCTCACTATCTCTGCTCATATTGTTTCACTACTGTTAATTTGTACATTCTACCCTTTAAAGGTCTTATCTGTGATGTAGAGTTAATATTGTTAATTTTATTTCATATATATATATTTCTTTAAAAGAGCATAATGATCCAGGCAAACATTATTAATTTATCTAAAATGCTGTTTAAGTAGTTTGTGATTTTGATACAAAATCTTTGGTAACTTATTATTTCCATTAAAATTTATAGTGTTTAAAAAATTTCCTCTTTAATAGTTTACTTCTTGATAAACGGTTACGATCAGAATGCAAGAATCAAGGAGCAATGATCCATCTCCCACCATCCAACCGTTACGAGACATTACTCAAACAGAGGCATGTGCAGGTTAGTGAAAATATCCCTTAGAGTAAAACAGTGTAGCATACGTTCAGAATGTTGAATCTTTTTAGTCAACCAGGTTCTTCCTTTCACTTTCTAAAAAAGCTATTTTGTTGGTTTTGATAATACAGACAGCAGAACATAGACCAAGTGAATATTTTCTACATCTACCATTTAGTGACAATGATTATATTCCACATTCTGCAACCTTTCCATCTTCTTTTTGTTAGGTGTTCCTTATCTATTAACATAAAGTCACTGCCCTCGAAGATTTCAGTTACTCTTCTGAAGTATTCTTAATTTGGTCACATGCAGATAGTTCTTAAAGAACATGATCTTCATTCAAAATTAGGCATATTTTTTGACTAGTTAAGCTAAACTGTTGTTTGTGTTTAGAAGACTATGAAATATTTTTTGGCTTAAGTTTTAAATATATCTAAAGTAATTTTTAGGGTTTACCCAAACTCCATAACTCCTGGAAATATAGAATCTATATGAACTTGAAACCCATTTTAAAGCTGGTTTCTTTTAAAGACGATTTAATCAAAACATCTTTTAATTTCATAGCAAAGGAAATTGTTGTTCATGGAGAGGCAATTAGATAATTAACTTCCTTCTCTGTCTTCTACCTGTTTCTGTCTTTCTTCCTCTATTCCTCTAGGTGAATATAAATCAGTTGCTGTTGCCTTGGATGGCCACTTGCATATACTTGATTATCGTGTCGTGTGATCATGAAAGAAAACATGAAGGAAGACTAAGAAACATTTCCTGTTGTCATTCTTCATCCTCTCCTATCTGTGCTACAGCACACATAGGTCCTTCCTGAGCTTAAGTGTCAGATGCTTTAAAACAAGGAAGATGAGAATTCTCATTAACTACTGTAATGTCAGATACAAGGTTTCTCCTGCCCAACATAAAAAACTAGAAAATAAATAGTACTTATTTTTGTTCCTTAAAAAGTAAAAACATATAAACCTCAAACTGACTGCTATCAAATTGATTCCAACTAAGGCTTATGGGACAGGGTTGAATTGCTTCAAAGGGTTTCCAGAGTTGTAAATATTGATAGGAGCTAACTGACACATCTTTGTTCTGGATTAGCTGATGTATTTAAATGACATCAGTGAGTGCTTCTATTACTTTGCCATTGGGGTACCTTTATAATATGTATATGCTAATTTAAACTCATTACGGTCACACAAAATGTTAGGAAAATAGAGAAAACTGTTATGAAATATTCCACGTAATTTTACTATTGAAACATAACCTTGGAACTCTGGTGGCATAGCACATAAGGAATTGCACTGGTAATCCAACGGTGACAACTCTTCGGTAGTTCAAATCCACCAGTATTTCCAAGGGAGCAAGAACAGCAGCCACCTCTGTGTTAACAACTTCTGAAAACCCTCTGGAGGCTCATCTATGAACTGGTTCTGACTTGATGGTTGTGAGATGATAATGATAATCTAAATATACGTAATATTGGAACCTATATTCATCAGCACTTTTACTATATATATATACACACACACACACACACACACACACACACACACACACTCTTAAAAGAATATTTCCATTTCATGAGACATTGTAATTAGTGTTATAGAGCAAAATGTGAATGAATGATTGAATGAAAAGCAATATGATTTGTAAACTTTCCCACGTATTAGGAAAAAATAAAGTAATGCTGCAATGCAGTTAATGTTCTTAGAACTCTGCAACGGATGGAGTGGTTTTGTCATGGAAAAGCCTATGAAGGTTAGGAGTATTTAGGCCTCTTTATGTGGAATTAATATCACATGCAAGCAAGATTCTGCTGAATTTTATCCAAATATAACTACAGCAGCACATCAGCAGAGAACTGCCAGAAGTTCAGGCTGGGTTTAGGAGAGGCCATGATACTAGGGATATTATAGCTAATGTTAAATGTATCTTGGTGGAAAGCAGGGAGTACCAGAGGAATGTCTGTCTGTGCTTCATTGATTATGCAAAGGCGTTTGACTGTGTGGACCATAACAAACTGTGGCTGACTCTGAGAAGAATAGGAATCCCGAAACACTTGATTGTGCTTATAAGAAACGTATACTTGGACCAGGAGGCCGCCGTCGTCAGAACAGAGCATAGAACTACTGCATGGTTCAAAATCGGGAAGGGGGTATGCCTATATAGGTATGTCCTTTCTCCATACCTTTTCAATCTATATGCAGAACAGATTATCTGGGAGGCTGGGCTCTGTGAGGAGAAATGTATCAGGATTGGAGTAAGACTCATCAACTATCTGTGTTATGCAGATGACACAACCCTGCTTGCCAAAACTGAGCAGGACGTGAAGTGCTTGCTGCAGAAGGTCAAGGATTGTAGCCTTCAATATGGATTGAAGTTCAACACCATGAAAATAAAAGATTCTCACCACCGGGCCTGTTGGCAGCATCATGATAGATTGTGAAGAGATTGTCAACACTCTTAGTACCAGCAGCCAGGAAGTCAAGAGACAAATTGCTCTGAGAAAGTCGGCTATCAGGGACATATCCATAGTACTGAAGAGCAACGATGTCAGTCTGGAGACTAAGATGTGCTTAATCCAGTCTTTGTGATTGTTTTCTATATATCAGAGAGCTGGATAATGACTAGGGATTGTAGAAAGAGAACTGATGCCTTTCAGCTGTGGTACTGGAGAAGAGTATTGAATATGCCATAGACTGCTAGGAGAACAAACAAGGTTGTCCTAGAGAGGGTGAGACCAGGCTGCTACTTGGAGACAAAGATGCTGAAACTTTGTCTGTCATACTTTGGGTGTATGTTGCAAGGAGGGACCAGTCCTTGGAGAGGGTTGTCATTCTTGGGAGAGTGGAAGGATAATGCAAGAGAGGAAGACCCTTGATGAGATGGATTCATTCACTGACCGAGATAATAAGGGTAGGTGTGTCAGATAATAAGATTGGCACAGGATAGAGCAGGATTTAGAGCTCTTGTATATAGGGTTACTATAAGTTACAGATGACTTGATGGCACACAGCAACAACAATATGTGGAATAAGTGGTCCCAAACACCAAAACAAGGATTGTGATGATTGACAGTCACATTCTTTTAGGTGTCTGTTAAGTCCTGGGCTTTCTGCCATCATTTAAATGTAAATTTAAGAGATGCTACAAAAGCCTTGAGATTGAGTCTCCTAAAATCACAACTTAAGGCAGGTCAGGTATTTTGTCATAACTCATTTATAAATAAAATTTCATCTAGTATTTAGTTTTTTATCATTCTGTATTAATTTTTTTATGGCCTCTGTGTTAGATTGCCTTAAGCTTCTGGTGGTTTAAGATAATATGAATTTATTCTGTTCTGGACACTGAACTCTAAAACCTAGATATATACAGAGGTCTCTTCCTTCTGAAGGCTCAATGGGAGAATCCTTGCCTCTTCTCATTTCTGCTGATATTTGTTGTCCCTTGACTTGTGACAGTATAGCTCTAATCTTTGCCTCCGTTTTTATATGGCATTGCCCTGTCAGTGTCAGCTCTTTCTTTTTCTTATAATGAGAGACTTAATTTAATCCACTGTGATCTGCCCTCTAACACTTCCCCACCTTGAAAACTCACAGCTATTTTACATGTAAGAAGTCCAGTATTTACAACAGTCTTAACTTATTCCACCTTCACTTCCAAATCCAAAATCTCACTAAATATTCATTCAGAAAATTCTATATCTCATCATTTAACTCAGTGTTAAAGGACCCCTGGTAGCATACTATACTTCGTTTAAGATTGCCATTTGAAAGAAAGGTTGATGGTTGAAATCCACTAGGTGCTGTGTAAGATAAAGATGAGACAGTCTCTTTCTGCCTGCAAAGATACATTTCCTTGGAAACCTGATGAGGAGTCCTGTTCCTAGGAAGAAATTAGAAGGGAAAATGGAGTCATAAGTCCTCTTGTTGTGTGCCATCGAGTTGGAACCAACTCTTAGCTGTCCCTCTTTTGGGTTTTCAGAGGCAGTTAATCATATGGGAGGAGAGTGCCCATCCTCCCGTGGAGCAACTGGTGAATTCAAAACACCTGCCTTAGAGATTGTAGTGTAGATTTTTGCCATGAAAACCCATCAGAGAAAATTCTGTTGAACTTCAAAAATAATCTTTTGTGGGTCTTTGGGTCAGTCTCCTTGGCCCTGCCTCTGCCACTGTATCTCTAGCCCTGGGGTTTTCTTTTTCATGAATGATAGCATATATGTGTAGCTTGGTGGCTTTATCATCTATTTCCTGCATTTAAATTTTTACAGAAACAATGATGGGTTATTTCACCTTTCTGTCCCCTTCAGTCCACACTTGCGTTTTCCTGGTGACATTACCATTCTTAAAAGGATTCTCAGTCACCTGTACAATTTTATGGAGGTCTATGCTGTTGAGAATCCTTGGTGACATAAATGTTTAGGTAATGGACTTCTAGCAGAATTGGTGGAGATCACCTAAAGACGCCTCGGAAGACACATCTGGCAATCTGCTTCCTAAAAGATCACAAGCTTGAAAACCCTCAGAATTCTGCTCTGCACAACAGAACTTACCAAGCCTCTGTGACCTACACTAACAGCAACCATCCTTCATAGATCTCTCCTGTCTACCTCATTTGGGTTTTTGATTTCTGCTAAGATAGTTGATTGGATCCATAATCTACATGCTTCATTTCTTCAGCATTGATCTTTTCCTTAGAACCTACTTAAACTTTTTTGCAATCTGGATAGACTGATAATTTTCAGAATTAGAAAGTTCTAGTTGTTGTTTGTTTTTAATCTTTCTCTATCTCTCTCTCCTTTCATTTTACTGTAAATAGCAAGGAGAAACCAAGAAGCAAAGAGTAACTTTTCACCTTCCACCTTGATTGGAAATCTTCTCAAATCAGTAACCCAGTTCATTGCTTTGAAACTTTGCTTTACACACAATTAGAGAACATATTTAATCTACTATGTACCAATGATCATCTTTTATTGTATATTTACTATTCAACCAGTTCTTTCAAAAGTTTCACCTGCAATGTATGTAATGTCCATAATTCTATCAATGTTCTGGTCACTGTGCTAAGCTTTTCAATCATGCTTCTCAAAATTCAAACCTCTGCAAATTACCCAATTTTACAGTTACTTCTGTGTGTTTAGTTCTTTGTTACAGCAATATTCCACTTTATAGTACTAATATTTGTATTTGTTTCTAGGATTACTGTGGCAGATTACCAACAAATGGGTGGCTTAAAACCATAGAAATTTATTCTTTCCTAGTTTTTGTGACAAGAAATGCAAAATCAGGGTATTAGCAGAGCCTGCAAGAGGAACCTTTAAAGATGCTAGAGGAGAATCCTTTAGGTTTTCTAGTTTCTGGTAGTTTCTGATGTTCTTTAGTTTGTGGCAGCCCAATTTCTGTCTCTGCCTCTGTCTTATTCTCATTTTGTTCCAAAGCTCCCTCTGCCTTGCTCATATAATGAATTTAGGAGCCATATAACTTCAGAATAATCTTAACCTCAAGATACTTATCAACATTTGCAAAGGCCCTGAAATCCCATTCATAGGTAACAGGTGATCATGACATAGACTTAACTTTGGGGTGGGAGGGTAGACAGTTCTGTTCACTGTTACCTATATAAAGAACTTTTTTTTTTTTTAAGTGTTGCACGTTTGGTGGTTGGAGGGAAGGGGTGAAGGAAATGGAAAAGATCCAGATGAAAAGACAGGGTCATGAAGGGCAAGGTCCAATGGTGATTAATTTTATATAACTTTCTACTTGAGAATGATTGTATGAAACACAATGTGAATGAAGAATAGCGTGAAGCACAACACATATAAACTTTGTAATCAAACCGGAAAGGAAAAAAAAATCTTTTGGAATAGATTTTTTTGGGTAGAATTATTCTTTGCTTTGATGTTACTGTGTTTAAATTTTTCTGCTCTTGCTCTGACATCTTCACTCTTCTCCTTAGCTCCTTGGCCGGTCAATAGACCTCAACCGTCTGATTACACAGCGTGTCTCAGCAGCTATGTATAAGTCTTTGGAACTGGCAATTGGCAGATTTGAAAGTGAAGACTTGACATCAATTGTTGTAAGTACTCACCCCTTTTATAAGGCTCAGCAGATTTTGTAAGACACAAGGACAGGGTCTAGTTTTATTTTTGTTCTTATTGATAAAATCTAGTTCTGGTGAAGTTATGCTGTCAACCTTGAGGCCTGTGGTTTGGATCTACTAGCTGCTTTGTGGAAGAAGATGGGCATTCTCTTCTTGTGTGATTTATAGCCTCTGAAAATCTGCTGGAAGGTCAGCTATGAGTCAGTTCTGACTTGATGGCACACAATACAATACATCACAAGTATAGAAAAATAAAAAAGCACTGAGATTATCATATCTTGAGTTTTTTATTTTATTAATAGCATTTAATCTTGATCTTCACAATTCTGAATTGATTTTTAAGAATGGTTATAATCTTTGTTTTGTATTGTTCTTATAAAAATGTTCATTCTTTTCTAAGTGTTTAGCAGAGAACAGTTATAATTTAATATTATAATCTTGAACAAAATATTCTTAACTGTGGCAAGATAGGTACTTAATTCAATGATGTGACTATATCCTTGTACATAATTTTTTTTAAAAAAACTCAAAAAGTCTTTAGAAATGAATCTAATGTGATAATAAACAAAGAAATCTACAAACTTTAGTGCACACGTAAGTACAAAATTGTGGAAAAGCTTTTTGTTGATGGAAGGACAAAATTTAGTCAAGATAAGTACTCTAATTGTTGCTCTTTGCCATTGAGTTGGCTCTAATTCATAGCACTTCTATCTAAAATAGAAAAAAACCTTGCCCAGTCCTCCACCTCCCTTAAAGTCCCTCATGTACTTAAGCCTGTTGTAGTCATTGTGTTAGTTCTTCTTGTTGTGTATCTTCCTCTCCTGTCCTGATCCTCTCCCAAACATAATGCCTGTCCTCTAGAGACTCCCCTTTTTGATAATGTGCCCAAAATATGTGAGACGAAGACTCAGTGTTATCCTCACTTCCAAAGAACATTCTGGCTGTACTTCCAAGAGAGTTTTGATTATTCTATTGACAGTTGATAGTATATTCAGTAGTCTTTGCCAACTCACAGTTCAGAGGCATAAATTCTCCATTGACCTTCCTTATTCATTGTTCAGCTTTCACACATATGTTGTTGTAAGGTGCCATTGAGTATTACTCGTAGCAACCTGATGAACAACAGATCTAATCTGTGTCCTGTGCTATCCTCAAAAGTCCTTACACATTTGATCCCATTGCTGCAATCACGATGTCAGTCCATCTCGTTGAGGCAGGCCCTTTCTCCTCACTGACCCTCCACCTTTCCAAGCATGATGTCCATTTCCAAGGAATAGCCCCTCCTAATAACGTGCCTGGAAGAAGAATTGGACATCCATTTCTGAAATATAATAGGCCTTTGAAAACCCTGTGTACAGTAGAGCACACTTAATTGCCATATCTGTTAGTCTACTCTGAGGCTGAGAATTCAAATTTGGAAACACAAAGGGGGAGGAACAGCTGTAAGAAGAAATTAATAATTGGTATGCGGAATGTGAGAAGCATGCAGGAAAACTAGACATTGTTAAGAAAGAAATGAAACTCATAAATATTGTCTTATTAGGTATTAACAAAATGAGATGGATTGGCATGGGACATTTTGAATCCCATGATCATATGATCTACTATGCTGGCAGGGGATAAAAAGGTGAGAAGAAATTGGAGTCGCTTTCACAGTTAAAAAGGCCATTTCTAGATCCATCTTGGAACGGTAAGAGGCCCAGAATAATCAAAACACTCCTTAAAAAGAGAAACAAGGTAGGAGGCATCTCATTTCCTGATTTCAAATCCTACTACACTGCCATGGTGGTCAAGACAGCATTGTACTGGTATAGTGACAGACACATTGATCCATGGACTAGAATTGTGAATCCACAAATCAGTCCATCTGCCTATGGTCAACTCATTTTTGACAAGGAGATGAAATCAGTTAAGTGGGGAAATGATAGCCTTTTTACCAAGTGGTGCTGGCAAAATTGGAAAACTGTCTGCAGAAAACTCAAGCAAGATTCACACCTCACTCCATACACAAAAACCAATTCTAAGTGGATTATGGACCTAGGATTAAAACCAAGGACTATAAACTTCATTAAAGAAAAGCTTGGAAGAACTCTAGAAGTCCTAATCCACAACATAAACAGTCTTACTCACTGTTGGTGGAAGTGTAAAACGGTGAAAAACCATTTGATCGAGCATTTCCACTACTGGGAATTTACCATAAAGAAACGGTAACTGCCACCCAAGCAAATACATGCACACCCATGGAGCTTTGTTCACAATAGCAAGGAGTTGGAAACAACCTAAGTGACCATCAACAAATGAATGGATAGAGAAGCTCTGGTATATTCACATAATAGAATACTATGCTGCATTGAAAAACAAAGAACATATGAAATATTATACAAAATGGATGACCCTGGAGTTCATTATGCTGGGTGAAATATCTCAGTCACAAAAGGACAAATACTGCATGGAGCCACTTGTAAAAAGGGACTGACACTGGGGTTGAGGGGAGACTGAGAAGGAGGGGATAAATATTGTATACTGCATTGAAACAGATGAGGGAGAGAACTGTTTAAAAGCGGTATGTGATTAGGTATTATTTTCTTGACAGGAGTCCAGAATGAAGGCTGTGTAATGGAATGGACTTGGGGGGAGGGATTGTATAAAAATGAAAGAATTTTTCTTTTAGGTTTCAGAGAAAAGAGCGAATTGTGGGGGAGGTGTGGGCAGGGAGAAAAATGCAATAATGAATGAATGGAAATCCAAAGTCTATGTAAATGTTCATTAAAATGAATTTTAAAAAAATTTTAAATACAGAATCCAGGTGGAAAAACCCTTCTGGAACTGTGTGTCAGGAAGGACTGGACTCTCCCATAGGGGAATTCAGAGATTAGGGGCTTCGACCTGGCTAGGAAAGCCAGCCTTTGATGAAGGAATAGAAAAAATTGTAGTGCAGACATTAGCTAAATGACATAACCAGGTCCTCTTTGAGAAAATGCCAAATTCTGATGCTATGTAGCACATCTGAGCCATCAAACCACCAGAAACGGAAAGATGTCTTATATACCTAGGTATTGAGGGGTAGAAATCTCTTAAGCTTTTTGGTAGGAAGCTTCCTGGAGAGAAACTTGGAGATAGAGTCAGACCCAAATGTAGCCTACTCTCAACTCAAATGAGTCCTCCATTGGCCCATGTAATCCACCTCCAAACTGATCTATGTTTCAGGGCATGAATTCTAAGTGCTAGAAGAGGCTCAGACGTCAGTAATTTTTTTTTTTTTTTTTGTTAAGGCATTGCCACCTACTTAATGGCATCTAACCGCCGTTTTAAGAAGAAAAAAAAGAAAAAATTTTTAAAATTATTATTAAATTTTATTAGTTTTAATGAACATTTACAGAGATTTTGGGTTCTCATTCATTCATTGTTGCACTGTTTTCTCTATCCTCCTCCCCAGTTCGTTCTTCTTCCCCCCCACCCCGAATGTCTGTTTTAATTGTCCAATTGCCACAGTGCTTGTCAAAGCCAGTTCTGATTAATCTTTGTCAGTGTGCCCTTTGCCATTCCCTATCACTCCTCCCTGAGAGAGACTTCACCCTGATTCATAAGGAAAAGGGGATGGCGTATTCTCTTAGCTACTTCCTGCTGCAAAGGGACGCTGTGGGTTTCAGGGTGAAGATCTTCTCTCACTACTCTAAAGGGCCCCTTTGGCAGTAGGAAACACATAGACTATTATGGAGATTGATTTTGGAATTTAGATGCAATGTTATTAATTGTGCTTAGCCATACATGTTCATATCCTTGAAAATTTAACTAACAAGTTAAACAAGTTAACAAATTTAACTAACAAGTTAAAAGTACATGAGTCAAAAATTAACAAGCAATAATATTCCGAGTAGAGGTTCCAGTAGTGGCACAAATCAAGTTACAGAGGGAAGGTGGTTCTTACAATAAAAGGCCTATAGACTAGCACTTTGACTATTACAGTCTACAGGTTAGGAACCACAAGATGTAGAGGCTCAGCTATTAGACGTCAGTAATTTGAACCCAGGAGCTGCTTCAGAGGAGAAAGAATTGGTGTTCTGTATATATTATAACTTTGGAAACCAAGTGGCACTTTTGTTATGAATCACCGTCAAGTAAATGACAATAAGTTTATTTTGGACTCTAAAAAAAAATACAGCATTTAGCATTAAATAGGAGGTATTGATTCTCATTCAGTGATAGAGTTTTGCTTTTGATTTGAAAGTTCACATTCCAGTCATTGCTCCTCAAGCACAGCTACCATCTGTTTGTCCTGAAGGCTTGAGTGCTAATGTGATACTTAATAGATTGCAGCTGCACTTATAGACTAAGTGTAGGAAGAAAGGCCTGCTATCCTTATGGAAAATCAGCCAGTGAAAATTCTGTGAATCATAATGGTTTTATCTCATTGTCCATAAGGTCACCAACATTTGATAAAAATCTAATAGTTGTTCATAGGGAATGAATTACAGGGTCACAGCAGGAGAAAAATCACTTCAGTCAGTTTGGTAATACTGGAGTTAAAATATAAGAACTTCAGGGAGCTCTGGTAGCTTTGTGGCAAGAAGCTGTGCTGCAATCCTGAAGTGACGTGGTTGAAATCCACCAGATGCTCTGCTGGATAAGGAGGGGCAATCTCCTCCTGTGCCAGTCAGATTTGATTCAGTGGTACACAACAATGGGGGTGGAATATCAGAACTTCCAGCAATTATGATTAATATGCTCAAAAAAATGAAGAAAAAGATCGATAAAATACAGAAAAAGAAGAAAGTTTTTAGAGAATTACGATTTATAATGAAGAATTAGATATTCTGAAAATGAAGGTTACAGTGTTTGAATTTAAGAAGTTGATAACTTTATAACAGTTTAGACAGAGAAGACAGGATTAGAGAACTGAAATACAGAAAATACCTAAACCAAGGCACTGAGAAAAGTAAGACTAGATGAAACAGAAAATCACATAGTAAATGTGG